CACCTCCAACAACTACAACTGCAGCTCCAACAACTACAACTGCAGCTCCAACAACTACAACTGCAGCCCCAACAACTACAACTGCACCTCCAACAACTACAACTACCGCCCCAACAACTACAACTGCAGCCCCAACAACTACAACCGCAGCTCCAACAACTACAACTGCTTCCCCAACAACTACTACTGCAGCTCCAACAACTACAACTGCTTTCCCAACAACAACAACTGCAGCCCCAACAACAACCGCAGCTCCAACAACTACAACCGCAGCTCCAACAACTACAACCGCTTCCCCAACAACTACTACTGCAGCTCCAACAACAACAACCGCCCCAACAACTACAACTGCACCTCCAACAACTACAACTGCAGCTCCAACAACTACAACTGCAGCTCCAACAACTACAACTACCACAACAACTACAACTACCGCCCCAACAACTACAACTGCAGCTCCAACAACTACAACCGCAGCTCCAACAACTACAACTGCTTCCCCAACAACTACAACTGCAGCCCCAACAACTACAACTGCAGCTCCAACAACTACAACTGCAGCCCCAACAACTACAACTGCACCTCCAACAACAACAACTGCAGCTCCAACAACTACAACTACCGCCCCAACAACTACAACTGCAGCCCCAACAACTACAACCGCAGCTCCAACAACTACAACTGCTTCCCCAACAACTACTACTGCAGCTCCAACAACTACAACTGCTTTCCCAACAACAACAACTGCAGCCCCAACAACAACAACTGCAGCTCCAACAACTACAACTGCAGCTCCAACAACTACCGCCCCAACAACTACAACCGCAGCTCCAACAACTACAACTGCTTCCCCAACAACTACAACTGCAGCTCCAACAACAACAACCGCCCCAACAACTACAACTGCAGCTCCAACAACTACAACTGCAGCTCCAACAACTACAACTACCACCCCAACAACTACAACTGCAGCCCCAACAACTACAACTGCAGCTCCAACAACTACAACCGCAGCTCCAACAACTACAACTACCACCCCAACAACTACAACTACCGCCCCAACAACTACTACTGCAGCTCCAACAACTACAACTGCTTCCCCAACAACTACAACTGCAGCTCCAACAACAACAACCGCCCCAACAACTACAACTGCACCTCCAACAACTACAACTGCAGCTCCAACAACTACAACTGCAGCTCCAACAACTACAACTACCACCCCAACAACTACAACTACCGCCCCAACAACTACAACTGCAGCCCCAACAACTACAACTGCAGCTCCAACTACAACTACCACCCCAACAACTACAACTGGAGCCCCAACAACTACAACTGCAGCTCCAACAACTACAACTGCAGCTCCAACAACTACAACTGCAGCTCCAACAACTACAACTGCAGCCCCAACAACTACAACTGCAGCTCCAACAACTACAACTGCAGCTCCAACAACTACAACCGCAGCTCCAACAGCTACAACTGCATCCCCAACAACTACAACTGCAGCTCCAACAACTGCAGCTCCAACTGCTTCCCCAACAACAACTGCAGCTCCAACAACTACAACTGCATCCCCAACAACTACAACTGCAGCTCCAACAGCTACAACTGAATCCCCAACAACTACAACTGCAGCTCCAACAACTACAACTACCGCCCCAACAACTACAACTGCAGCTCCAACAGCTACAACTGAATCCCCAACAACTACAACTGCAGCTCCAACAACTACAACTACCAGCCCAACAACTACAACTACCGCCCCAACAACTACAACTGCAGCTCCAACAACTACAACTGCAGCTCCAACTACAACTACCACCCCAACAACTACAACTGGAGCCCCAACAACTACAACTGCAGCTCCAACAACTACAACTGCAGCTCCAACAACTACAACTGCAGCTCCAACAACTACAACTGCAGCCCCAACAACTACAACTGCAGCTCCAACAACTACAACTGCTCCAACAACTACAACTACCACCCCAACAACTACAACTGGAGCCCCAACAACTACAACTGCAGCTCCAACAACTACAACTGCAGCTCCAACAACTACAACTACCAGCCCAACAACTACAACTACCGCCCCAACAACTACAACTGCAGCTCCAACAACTACAACTGCAGCCCCAACAACTATAACTGCAGCTCCAACAACTACAACTACCACCCCAACAACTACAACTGGAGCCCCAACAACTACAACTGCAGCTCCAACAACTACAACTACCAGCCCAACAACTACAACTACCGCCCCAACAACTACAACTGCAGCTCCAACAACTACAACTGCAGCTCCAACAACTACAACTACCACCCCAACAACTACAACTGGAGCCCCAACAACTACAACTGCAGCTCCAACAACTACAACTACCAGCCCAACAACTACAACTACCGCCCCAACAACTACAACCGCAGCTCCAACAACTACAACTGCAGCTCCAACAACTACAACTGGAGCCCCAACAACTACAACTGCAGCTCCAACAACTACAACTGCAGCTCCAACAACTACAACTACCAGCCCAACAACTACAACTACCGCCCCAACAACTACAACTGCAACCCCAACAACTACAACTACCACCCCAACAACTACAACTGCAGCCCCAACAACTACAACTACCACCCCAACAACTACAACTGCAGCCCCAACAACTACAACTGCAGCTCCAACAACTACAACTGCAGCTCCAACAACTACAACTGCAGCTCCAACAACTACAACTGCAGCTCCAACAACTACAACTGCAGCTCCAACAACTACAACTACCGCCCCAACAACTACAACTGCAGCCCCAACAACTACAACTGCAGCCCCAACAACTACAACTGCAGCCCCAACAACTACAACTGCAGCTCCAACAACTACAACTACCACCCCAACAACTACAACTACCGCCCCAACAACTACAACTGCAGCCCCAACAACTACAACTGCAGCCCCAACAACTACAACTGCAGCCCCAACAACTACAACTGCAGCCCCAACAACTACAACTGCAGCCCCAACAACTACAACTACAACAACTACAACTGCAGCTCCAACAACTACAACTACCACCCCAACAACTACAACTACCGCCCCAACAACTACAACTGCAGCTCCAACAACTACAACTGCAGCTCCAACAACTACAACTGGAGCCCCAACAAACATATCTTCCACCCCAACAACCATAACTTTTGGTCCAATAACTCCACCTCCTACAGATCAAACATCTAATGGTAAATAATTTCCAAATAACAACATATCTTTTCTTAAAGTAAATTAATCCACTGACCGACTGACTTCTGTTCAATCCCTACAGGTTTGGAGTATCTAATGCATCTAAACATGAAGTTAAGCTCTTATGGAGAGATCAGCAATGGAACCATAATTCAGCTCATTGAACAGGTATGAAATCTAGAATAACCCATAAATTATTTGGTCTTTCATCAAAAATCTTAAAATTTTAACACTTTCATTCTCTTCATTTAGTTTTTCAAAGACCAGCTCGTTAATGGAAGCACCCACAAGGTGACTGTACGAACCGTCGAACGGGTTAGAGTTAACCCATAAACAAGTGCAGCAGCTACATGACATGTTCTCTGTATTATCTAAATGTAAAACATCAAAATATTTTGATTGTATTTTAATTGTATAATTAAGTTAATCAGTTTAGAAATAATCTGCTTTCTGGGAAACCCTTATAAAATACCAAAGTTTCTCTAGTTTGTGTAGATTCAATATAACTTCTGAACTCAATGAATTTGCTTTTCACAATTGACTATGCAAAGTGTAAAAATGTCTTAGCGATAAATTAAAGAGTTATGTACATTTTCTAATCAAATGTTCTTTTAAACGCAACTTTAATTTAGTTGCGTTTTTGTCAGTTTTGCAGATCATTTTAAAACTCATTTTGAACTAAATTGTTTCACTTGATATCTTTATAATATTATTCTAACATGTTTTCTTTGTATTTTAATTGTATAATTAAAGAATTCATATGAACTGCAAGTTGTTTAGCTTCATGTTATCTCAATACAAAAACCCAGTGAAAGTGGAGCTTTTGGGATGTGTCCGTTATATTAAATGTGCCAAAAGTACAAGAAACGTACATTTCTTTTAAATTCTGAGGTTAATCTCAGAAATTTTCTAGAAAATATAAGAACTTTTCTGAGCTTGAAAAAAGCCTTAAGAAAATGATCCAAAGTGAGATAAAAATGGAAAATGCAAAGGAAAAAGAAACTAGTCTGACAGCTTCAGTACAGACTTCTAGATATTTGTTGACAAAATACAAAATCTCATAATACTGGTATGTTATGATTTCAGGACTTACACGACACTTTTTACATTTAATGAGGAACAAACATTAATAAAACTAGAAACTGTTGACAAAATTCTGCTTTATTTTCTGTTAGCCACTTTGCTTCCTAATCTCATAAATTGTTTGATACCTGATATGATTTATAGTTTCACCTGAATGTTTTACACCAATTTTGTTCATTGGGATGTTAAATCATGCCAAGGTTTCACTTTAAATACATAAATCTCTGAAGATTGAATTGGATAATGTATGATAAAGTACTCGTAGAACAATGTATATATTTTAATTTGTTTATATATTTTAATCTTGCAAAGCTCGTTTCCAAGGCTACAAGACGTACATAAGGATGGATTTGAGAAGATAGAAATATATTTACATTATTATTTTCTGGGCTATTTAAAAATTACATTTTCCTCCTGCAAGATTCATTTGTTAAACGTATTAATGCAAAGTGCAAATTATTGACCTTAAATTAACTTTATGACAACATTTTTGCAACCCTAACAAGTGTATTTTGGGGCATAGAATTAAATGTACATTAAATGTTAAAACTATTTACGTAAACCATCTTCAAATTCCCAACTGTGGAATTTCACTGGAAATTACAAGATTATGTATCAACATTTTTATTTTTGGGATAAATGATTTGAATCATCATCCAGGGTTTGTTCAAATACACAAAATAATCCAAACAGACAGAAAAACAGCAGGAAACCGTCAACAATTTATTGATAAAATCACATTCGATTATAGTTTGCTTCCTTTCATAATGTCATAATTTGAAGAGAGATTATATCTCCGCCGGCATGCTTGGATCCAGAGTTCTGTGTAAGGTTCTGTTCAGCAGCACCAGCAGGTCCAAAGCTTCGGTGACCCCTCTGGGCAGAAACAGCTCCAGAGAATCTGGAGAAGTGTGAGGGAGAATCGGGTCGGACGACGTCGAGTCCTGCAAAAATAAATAAATTCAGACACATTAAATGAAAACGTGCAAAATTTCTGGGCCAGTTGAGTGAAAATATCTTCACACCTTTAAATAAAAAGGAAACTAAAGACTTGAACACAAAACTACAGGGCATTAGGGCCAGACGGAGATTTATCTTTAATTATGAGAATGAAATCAGGATATGACGACAATAAGGTCACAACATGGAAAAATAACAAGAAAAAAGTTGTTTTAATGAGAACAAAGCATCAATAGGTAAAGATCTGATTATTTTATTAATTTCAAATCCTGCTACTGATAATTTGCTGATATTTAGGAAGTTTAATCACATTCTGTCTGTAAAACCGATTGTGAAAGTATAACTTCAGATGATTGTCAACTTTACCTTTTTCTCATTAAATTACTGTTTCATGGTCCTAATATTACAGCTTCATTACTGTAATATTATGAATTTAATTTTGCATTAAATTCATTTTCTAATATGTCATTATTAAAATTTTACTCCATTAATTTATTAAGACTTTTTTGTATATATTTTCTCATAATATTACTTTATTCTAATGAGTTTATTCTCATATTGTTTGGCACTAATTCTCCGTCGACTTTAGTGACGGCCGTTCATCGTAATTCCGTCTGGTATTTTTTGCAGTGTAAGTCTTTGTGTGATTATTTAGGTTTATGATTTTAATCGTTACACATAATTTCATAACTGTGTGGAGTTTGATAATCTAACCGAAATGGAAACCTGCAGCTTATGATCACCAATAATCAGTTATTAATCGCCGATACCAACCTGTGAGTAAAAACGCAGAGAGATGAATTTGGGGAAACCAAGCGGAGGAAGATGATCGGTTCCTGTGATGAAGAGGAGGAGGTCTTCAAAGGAAAAACACGTTTCTCCATCTGATCCAACATGAGGGGGAAACATGTTTGTTAACGGTTCATCCCAGCTCAGCCAGTGTGTGTGTGTGTGTGTGTGTGTGTGTGTGTGTGTGTGTGTGTGTGTGTGCTTACCGCTGACCATACTGAGGACGGTTTCCCACTGAGCCGCTGTGGTTTCCTCGGCGCCTCTCAGCTCAGAGTCCGGATCGCTGAAGCAAAACGTGAAGAGGCGTCTGAAGACCTCCAGGCTCGGCGCCCGCCGCTCCGGTCTGGTCATCACTGGCAGAAACGTTTCCCAGTGCGACTTCACCAGATCCCACAGCCCCCCACAGCTGTTCAAGCCCTCCAGGAACTGGGAGATCATACTGGCCACCCTGGAGTTCAGGAGGCAGTCAAACTGGAGCCGCATTTCCATTCACCATAGAAATGTCCAAATTGAGATCAAAAAAACAGATTTGGTTCTTAGAAACAATTTAGAAAAACAGTTTTTGGATGAGCAGGTTCTGCGTTATGATGAGGCGGATTGAAAGAGAAATCGCTAAACTAGAAGACAAATGTTTGACTTCTTAGAAATTTGAAAGAAGTACAAATTTCAAGATTAATCCCAAAATTTCTGAGTTTTTGGTCACAAATTTTTACTTTTTTGATCTCAGAATATTCCTTGATTTCTGAGCTAATCTCAGATTTCCAACTTTTTAATGTCAAATTTCAACATCTATTCTATTTGGATTTTTCTCACAAATTTGCAACTTTTCAAACTTAAATTTCAATGTTTCAAAAACTTTCTGAGATTAAACTCAAAATTTCAGAGTTTTTTTTGTGCAACGTTTTAACTTCTGGAGCTTAGAAATGTTCTCATTTTTTCTAGAAAATTTATTTGATTAGCATCACAACTACAATGGCATATTGGTCAAATTTCAGTCAAAACACTAGAAATTTTCAAGAACAAAAAAAAATTTTTTTTGAGTTATACAAAAAATTAGCAAGAAAAAGACTCAAATTTAGAGAAAAATCTTAAATTTCCAGAAAAAAATCTGAATTGTTTCCAGAAACTTCCCATTTACTTCTAGAAAATTTCTAAGATTAATCTAAGCATTTCTGAGTTTTTTGGCACAAATTTACTCCTCTATTCTTGTTACATTTAAGTCGTCATTCATTTCTTATTTAAAGTAAACTGTAAATTTATTTATTTTTTTTTGCTATTTTGTATTCGACAGAATACTGAGAAATATTTGCACACAAATTTGTAATGAAAACTCAGACAAAAGTGAAATGTGACATTCGGAGGAAAGGCTCTGACCTGTGGTAGATGCAGTGTTTTACCAAGCGGGCGTAGACGGCGGGAATCTCTTCGGACCCGGCCGGATGGATCCCGCAGCCGGACAGCCAGTCGCACAGGCTGGGAGGGAGAAGCTTCACGTCGCTGCAGCTCTGCAGCTGCGAGAGCAGAGCAAGAAAAACAGAGTTTCAATTAACAGGTTTAATGACACAGAGGCTGCATGACGTTCACACCTAGAAAAACAACGTAAAAACTCAACCAGATTTCTGTCTGTGATGAATTAAACGCTTCATTCTGACCCAGAAAACACAGACATGCAAGTCAGCAGAGGAGAGCAGTAACTGGCTACATTCACCAGTAACTTTTGGGAAAAATTACTTTTACTACACTGTACGTTTTACTTTTACTGAGTAATTTTATTAGGATGCATTTCTTGAGTGAAATTCCTGGATTTTCTGCCCACTGAATGAGAATCAACCAGGATTTAACCAGTAATTCAAACACCTGCAGTTTGATAAAGTTTCATAAATTGTTTTTTTTATTGAAACAAACTGAATTGGAAACATTTTCTTTTGCCCAATTTTATCTTTTTTTTTGTTACTTATATGAATTATTGTCATTTTGGTTCTTAAAATATCAACATTTCCACTTATCCTTTTATTTATGTCCATCTGATGTAATTTTTAAATATTAAATGATTGATACAAAATACATTTAGTAATTTCTTTGATGACTACTTTTTACTTCAATAAAAATATGTTTAAGTCGTGCTACTGTTACTTCAGAATAATGTTTGGCTCCTCCACCAACTTCGACTCCGAAGCTGTTATTTATGTGCAGTGCAGGCTAAACGTTTCATTTACATTTTCATAAAGAAACATTGAAATAAGCCGTGGATGTTAATCAGGATGATTTCCACCTCATGCAGTCGAAGTCGAGCTTCAGCATCAGCGACGTCGCTGCAGTTAAAATCCTCCAAAGATGCACTTTGGAAACACATCAGCTGCAGGAACAAACAGAAACATTTCAATCGACTCTGAACTGCTGCAACGATGCATGCAATGATCTGCATCAGTTCTGAATGCAAATGTGGTTTTAACTTGCTTATTGTAATCATAATATATATGATAATTAACTGTTTCCCAGTTAATTATGTTAATATTGAATCCCATTCATTAAAAAAAGTAATGAATATTTACCGTTATGCTTTGTTTTGTTGTTTTATGTAGCAACATAATTAAAAAGTGCAATTGATAAACATTTTATTTAACCCGTTAGCCTGCAACGGAACGCCAGCACGCCGTTTTTAAATATGTATTTAAGTCTGTTACCCTCTTTCTGTGTGACCATTAAATAAAAACGTTCAGCTCTTGCTGGTTTTGTGCGCAGCTTCAGATTTCAACAGATTCATTTCTGTAATGGTTCCTGCTGAGCGGCGAACCTGGTAGAGGGCGGGATGCAGACAACACGGTCCAGGTCCTCCATGAGCCAGCGACCAGCCAATCAGAACGCCCGCTTCGTAATACAGCCTGTGGTCCAGTGCTGTGAGGTCATAGGTGAAAAACAGACGCTCTGGATGACCCTCAAACACACAGCTCTGCTGCAGCTCCAGGAGGGTCAGCCTGAACGGGAAGAAATTATCTCAGGATGTAAAACGCACCTTTATCATTCAGACTAGATTTAAATATATTTTAATCTAGTTAAGGACTAAAAAATGAAACTGAATCAGTGGTTGAAACCTAAAGAACTCTCCCAGAGCGTCGTCCTGGCGGAGCGTCTCCTCTTGCCTGAAGGAAACCAGCGGTCTGGACCTGAAGCAGAATCCTGGTTTCCTGATTTCCTTCAGCGCAGCAGGAAGGACGTCTCCTCTGCTCACCCTCATCACAGTTTCTGCGTTTGTGTTTTCTACTCTGAATGAGCTCAGAATGGTGTCCAGGTCCAGGGTGAGCTGCACAGGAAACAGGAAGTAAACAGGAAGGTTTTCTCTGTGACCAATCAGATTTGACATCAGAGTTTAACTGACCCTCTCTGGAGGCCGGTCGGGACTCTTCCTGCTGACCTTTGACCCTGAATCCTTCCTGAGAACATCAAGATTTTAAAACAGCCAAAATTATTTTATTTTTAAGTTTCCACTCAAAAACAATGTTTTCTAACCTTTTTAAGGCGGATGCTTTGCTTTCATATTGCGCCTGATGGTGTAAAAACAAGCAAGTTGAGAAAAAAATAAACCAAATATAATTGATAAAAATGTATTTCAATCCAATTCATTAATATTTCACCAATTCACAAGAAATATCGTCTTGATAGAGAAAAAACAATCCAGACAATTAAACTTAATTTTGATTTCATGAGTCAAATTCATTTGGTTTGGATTGGAAAGACTTCATACTGCAGACACATTCAAAAAAGTAGAAAATTATGGAATAGTCCTTTTATTTTAGGAACTTAATCACAAAGTGAAACTTTATATGGGTTAGCAACTTTGAAAGCCTTTATTTCTGCTAATTAGAATAATTTTCCATTTAAAGCTGTTGAAAACATTTAAAATTAAAGCATTACTTATTAAGATTAATATTTTTAAAAAACAGAAATGGGGGTTTAATAAAAAGTATGTTTAAAACCTGTTTTTTTTTTTTTTTTTTACAAAATGTACTTTTAATCTGACAAACGAGACTCACTGGGTGACTATTCTGATTTTCTGTCTGATTAATGAAACCTAGTCACTGATTTAATAAAACAATAAAACCCAGACAGGAGGTTTCATGCAAAAATCCTTTAAACTAATCTGAATAATAACCTTACCTTTATGATAAATGAGATTAATTGGACTGAATTGAAATGGTTTCTGCCTAAAGACGACATTTGTTATAAATTTGTGCTACATAAATAAAATGAACTGTTGCAAGAGAAATCTGGAGATTAACTTAAAATATAAAACATGTTGTGTTGTACCTGTTCATAGCTGAGGTCACTAAATATGTACAAAGCACCGTGTTCACTGATCCGGAGAACTTGCTCTCCAGTCCAGCCCTCTGCAGGGCAATCAGGGACAAACAGCACTTTGGAGCTCCGCACACTCTGAAACACACACACACACACACACACACACACACACACACACACACACACACACACACACACACACACACACACACACACACACACACACACACACACACACACACACTTTGGCTTCAAATTGAGATTCAAACCATTTTAGAGCAGCTGAAACGACTTGACGGGACAAACCTGCAGGTATGTGAAGGAAAACTTCTGTCCTGGTTTCTTTCCAAGCTGCGGTTGAAAAAGCGACGTCAGGCGACTCTGCATCTGATTGGCTGACCAGCTGGAGTCGATGGTGATGCGAGCCGCCAGAGCCGCTTGTCGGCGAATCATTTGTATACTTGCATATAAAAAACAAACATGTACTCAGTCTCAGAAGGTGCAGATATATTAATAATCTGTGTGGATAACTCTTAAAGCCTTAGTGTGTAACTTTTAAAATAAGTTGAATCCGTATTTATTAAAACTGTCGCCGCCCCGCTCAAAAACAACCAATCAGAGTCGAGAGAGGATGTTAGACTTCTGTGTGCTGATAAATATGCTAATGGTGGAAAAACAACTTACTATTTATTACAGGAAAACAGTTTATCTGCCATTATCTGTGGCTACGGAAACAACTTTTAGCATTAATGGCAGGTTTCTGTTTCTTTTGTGTTTCATTGGCAGTTGCCAAACGAGCCTGATATGCATGTACCGCCCCCTATGGGCCTGGAGTGTGGACAGCAGTAATAACCCAGAGAATCCACAAGACGAACAGGACAGAAAAAAACTATTTCATTTGAATTCTGATTATTGCCAACAGAAAGAAGATTTCCACTCACTAATATCAGAAGTAGTCAGAGTAACCCAAAATTATGCTAAATTAAGAGCAGCAGTACTACAACAAACTTCACTCAAGTAAAAAGTACACATCCAAGACATTATTCAAATAAGAGTAAAAAAGTATTTGGTAAAAAAAAAAGTGTATAGTAACGCATCAAATTAATCATTTAATATGTAGAATTTACATAATCAGACAGAACAAAGGTTAAATTTTTGTATTTTATGATCCAAAATGACAATAATTCATACAAGTAAGAAAAAATAAAACCAGGCAAAAAAAAAAAAGTTTCCAGATTAATTTCTTTCAATGAAAAACTTGAGACTAATAAAAACTGCAGGTGTGTGTCTGGCACATTTCAGTTTTAGTCGTTTTGTTTTTGTTTAGTGGGTAGAGAATTCAGAAATTTTACTCAAGTAAAAGTAAAAAATACAGTGAAGTAAAAATACTTATAAAAGTACATAACAAAAAATCACTCAAATATAATTGAGTAAAATTACTAGTGACCACCCAACTCTGATTTTAACTGTAAAAAAATTCTTATAAAAGTTTGATGCTATAAGTTTTGGTATTTGAATGAATTGGTGCTTCCTGTGAAAATGCATTGAGGCCTGACCCGTCCAGCTGCTCCAGGTGTTTTTCCTTTGGCAGACAGATCACATCTCTAACCACGTGTCTGCTCTTCTGCGGACTCAGTTTCTTCCATTTCAGGTGACGAGTTTTGTTTGATGACTGAAACATAAAACAAGAAACAAAGCTGCAGCACAAAATCTATCAAAAACATGACAAATGTGTAACAAGAAAATTCCAGAAATTCAAAAAGTCTCATTGAATTTGATCTTATGATAGACATAAAATCTCAACTTTTTATATAAATCATGTTTTTATATTTTTCTCATTTCTCTCTCTGCCAAAAACTGGATGATAAAAGTCTTCATCCCGGTGTTTTGGTCTCAGACATTTTTTTTTACATTTACTTTATGATTACTTGTATTTGTTGTTTCTGTTTATTGATTTGGTGCTTCATGTGAAAACGAAGCACCAATTCAAACTGTTTGGCATCATGAGACGAATAGTTATGCACCAAGTGAAATAATTTCTAAAGACAATTTTTTGTGTTTGTGATTTGATCAAGAGAAAGTGAGAAACCAGAAACTGACCAGGGCGGCGTGGTCAGAGTTGCCAGATTTTATCTCGACCAGCTCAATGTCAGAAAACCTGATGGGCGGCAAAGACTGGAGGGTCAGGAAAAGACAGAAGGTTCAATGAAAAACTGACTAACTTTACATGAATCATCTGAAAAGAGGAATATTTTAACTTAAATTGTGAAAAATAAGAAGTATTTTGCAATACTGGATTTGTCTCTTGCCTTCATCTCGATGTGTGCGTCGTCTGCTACGCTGATTATGCGTGAACAGTAAGACGTCTTCTTGATGACGGGAGGTTTAGCTTTTGGTTCTGCTGGTTGTTTGGTTTGGATCTCAACTAGCAGGTCTTCATCCTCGTCCTCTTCCTCCAGGTCAGGGGCCAGAGGATGCTCCTGGTACCGGAACCTCTGGGCCTAACAGGGGAAACGGGTCTGGAGTTAATTAAGACCAGTTGATAAATGTTATGGAGGCTTGAAGTTTAGAATTTCACTTTCACTCAAACGGGTTCATTCAGGTTTTCTGGGAAATGTGTTTGGTCCGTTTCTTGTCCCTCTGCTGACAGAATTTGCTCCATTATGGATAAAAAAAAATTAAAAAGAAAACTTGCTGAATTATATGAACACAGCAAAACCAAAACTGTTAAACCAAGAAAGTTTGTTTAGCTTGTTTCTGACTTTAACAGGACAATGAAACTGTAACATCTTAACTTCACAAAAATGTATCTTTACAACTCAAATGAAATTAATTTGGTTTACCTAAAGAGTCTCCACAAACAACAACAAGTTGATTTAACATCATGTGACATTTCATTTAGTCTAATTCAATATATTTACACAAATGGACACTCAGAAATGTGCTGAATAATAAGTACCGACATATCATGGTAAATTTGTAATCTGAAGGATTATTCTTGTCGCTATTCACCATTTACATCCATTTATGCAATTTTGCATTTCTGGAGCCTTAAGATTTTTATATTATGAGGAGTTGAACTAAACTTTAAAACCATTTGAACCTGGTTGTCCAGGAGACATTTTCTAATTACTTGAGTGACATATTTGGAAAGAAAAAAAAAAGAAGTATACTTTTAGGAATATCTGTAGTTTTCATTATGAAGTATTTCTGCTCTTATTTGAATTAAATTTCTGGATTTTTCTACCAACTGAATAAAAAAAACATGTTTTCAAACACCTGCAGTTTTTGTTAAAGTTTGTTTTTATTGAAAAACTGATTTGGAAATATTTTCTTTTGCCTGATTTTGTAATTTTATTTTTACTGATATTTTTGTCACTTTGAATCTTAAAATACCAAAATTTTCACTTAACTTTATACTTTGGTTCATGTGGTGATGTCATTTTTAAATATTAAACAGTTGATAATTAAATCAGTTACTCAGTACTTGAGTAAATTTTTTAACTCAATATGTTTATAATTTAAAGTAATTTCTTGAATGGATACTTTTAAACTTTTACTTGAGTATAGTGAAGTAGTGCTACTCTACTTAAAAATACCAACAATTTTCTGAAATAGTTTTTGTTTAAACTGTTTTAAAATGTCTCAAAGTTGTAAAGGCTGCAGACTCTTTATATAAACAGACAGAATCATAAAAAGTATACATCCAAGAAATTACTCAAGTATTTGGTAAAAAGTACAGTGTAGTAAAACTTACTACTAAAAGTTGATATTTTAAAATGTTACTCTGTAAATATGAAGTTTTATCTAGAAGAACGAACCTGTTCAGAGGTTTGTTTGTTCTCTTCTTTTTCCTGCATCATCATGATCACAGTTTCTTCTTCTGAAGAGAAAAGCCTCATTTCGATGTTTTCTGTGATTCCCATCATCGCCGACTTTTTGTCACAAAACTTCATCCTGGTCCAGAGAAACAAATCAAAGTTTCTCCTTACAATCTGCCCCAGTCGAAGCTTCAGCCTCCAACGAAGGAAGTTTTCAGGTTTAGTAGAAGCAGAGGAGTTGATGAGGCCTCATCAACTCAAGCTGAGGTCTATCAGGGGTCAAAGGTCACATTATACTCCCTCTTCTGACTGATGCTGGTGACTGCCTGCTCTCTGGAGACGCAGCTACTGATTCAGCCGTGTAGACGTGACTTTTTATTGATGTGATTTATCAATTTGTGCTTGCAGATCATTGAAATGTAACCTTTGTGACAAAAATACACAAACACTTAATCAAATAAAGAACATTCCTTGGATGTTGGTTTTAGAAAATGTTAGACTATTTAAAGTTGTAATCTCAGGTCTGGGGTGAAGTTTGCACAGCGCTGTTTTAAAATTAGTTGTTTGCTTAAAGTCATGGGAACAAAAACTTCAGTCTGCCATCAGCAACTAAAGCCGACGAATCAATAATCCTGATTAGATTATGATGGTTTCACAAAAACAAGTCGAGTTAACCTGAAAATCATTTAGTTTTATTTAGTAAACAGAGTAAAAGTTGACCTAAATGAGTCTTTTTCTCAATTCATAAACTTGAGATTAACTATTTCTGTTCATCTTGATCTCAACTCAGTGAAAATTCAAAATGACATTAGTGGTAAAATTTTATGACGTTAAACAAGAAATGGAAATAAAATCATGTGAATAAGTTTGTTCATATGATAAGTCATGAAAAACACGCCATTCTGAATTTAAACTGCTAAACCTCAAGTGTTATTTTCACTTTTAATTATGATTATTTGTGCCCCGGATCTGTTCCGTATGTATTATACTGCTAGTTGTGCTTTTGCTAAGTCTATCAGTTAGGTAAGAAATATCTAAAATATATTAACTAGAAATAATGCTTACTGTGAAATAGTCATCACCATTTTGTAAAAATGTTTTTATGCTAAATAGAGAATTAAAAAAAAACTATTTCACCACTTCCTGTCATCTTCTTTGTGGTTTCTGCCAGTAGTAAGATCCAATTGTTGATGTGAAAGAAGCGTTTCCATGGCAATTTTGTAAAACACATTAACTTTGACATGATAAAGAAATCATTGCCAAAAAGCTTTAAATTGAAAAAAAGAAGTTTCCACTAAGCAAATTTATGTACTTTCAATTTGCATAATTTTGTGGTTATTGGAAATACAGCTGTAGAAACCCTCCAAAAGGAGAATAACTCCAAAAAATGTTTGTACACAGAAAGCAGTGTACAAACATTTTACTGGAACGTTGAGTGGAAGGTAAACATGAAGAGTTTGGGAAAGTTTCATAACAAACCTTATTAAAACACAAAAGTTTATTAAAATGGGAAATAAAAATCCAGGCAGATTATAACTTGTTAAAAAGGCGTAACGGGGCTTTTTATGCTTAAAAATACCAGAAGGTGTCGTTTTACTGCTGCAACTTTTCTTATTTAAGAGAGGAAATAGTTTGGTTTAATGAGATGTCATTAGAAAAAAGCTTTAAAAATCTCAATATAACAACAAAGCATTGGCATCAATATGTAAAGATGTAATTACATAGAGTTTATGTTAATTTGATGGACATCGTTAGTCTGATTAATACCAATTATTCATCAGAAGGTCGTTCCCTGTAGACCAGGTCTCAGGATTTTTCCAGTAGCTAAACATACAAAAAGAAAAACTACATAAAAACTCCTTAAATCCAAATTTAGGCGTAATTTGCAAACCCAGTGCCTCCAAACGGGGTATGCATGTAGAAAGAGTCACAATCACAAGACATACTAATGTCTTGTGATTTACAGTAAAGTAGCCAAAATAATGAAGTTTTAACAAAATATTCAAAGAAATCAAAGCAAACTGCTTTTTTCAGAATGTAGTTTCAATAAAATGTTTATTTTCAATAAATACCAAAGAAAAAAAAGCTAAAAAAAGAGACTTTGTTCTCAACATTTCAACAAGACAACTCATATTTTAGATATTTACTCAGACATGAACGAAATGAAGCAGGAAATAAAGTTTGACAGGAATAAATGATAAATATTCACCAGTCTACGATTTCACAGCCATAAAACTGTTAAAAAGATTCTGATTTACACCAAGTACTTTAAAAATTCACATACTGAAATTCAGAAAAGTTGTTCCGACTCCACAGCAGCAGGAACAAGACGTCAAATGCTTGCTTTGCGTTTCCGTTTCTGCCGAGTCGGCGTCTCTCAGGCCGGCAGGCGTCTCTCAGGCCGGCAGGCGTCTCTCAGGCCGGCAGGCGTCTCTCAGGCCGGCAGGCGTCTCTCAGGCCGGCAGGCGCCTCTGGCTGCAGGTCAGCAGGTGAGGCAGGAAGTACGACGCCGAGCCGTCGTCCGGCAGGAGCTCCAGAAACTCTGCGGGGGTCGTCTCCATTGCAACCACCACCAGCGTCTCTGTGGGCACGGAGACCAGAGTCGATTATCTCTTCTGGTTTTATCCTTATCGCTTTATTTGTGTAAAAACGTTATTATGCTCCTAATCCTTTGATGTAAGCAAGTGACTGTAGGTGGGAAATTAGATATTTACATACACTGAACAAAAACATTTTTAATTTTTTTTGTCAAGTCAGACCAAACTTTTCTAAATTATTTCTGTTTGCTAAATGACAGAAAATGTGGCAAGAAGGTTTTTTTTAGAGATTTTTTAAAAAAAACTTTCCTCACCTTCAAAAGTTTACAAACATTTTTCCGGTATTTGTTTTTCCGCTCAGTGGGTTGAGAACCCAGAAATTTTATTCAAATAAGAGTAGAAATACTTCACAATGAAATTACTCAAGCAAAAAGTGCACCGTAGAAAAAATACTACTAAGCAAACACTTCTCAAAAAGTTACTTGAGCAAATGTAACCAGTTCCTCCCCAAGTGAATATTACAAATTGAGCTAATAAAATTAGCTGCAGCTCATGTTAAACTGTTTTGATAATCAGCTGATAGATTCAGGTTTTCTGCTACAGTTGGGACATTTTGTCCACCTGTCAGAGCTCCGAGCAGAACGCCGTCATCGGCGGCCGCTCGCGTCCGGCTGCACAGCTCAGGAAGAAGCTTCTGCCACCAGAGAGCCTGGAAGAAAACAGGAGAAAAAGTCAACAAAATGCTTTAAGAAAAGCAAACATACAGAATGAAGTGCATGAAGGACATGCCATGTGTTTGTCCTGCAGCTGGTGGTTGGCGTAGGCGATGATGGCCTGAGGACAGCGGTCCAACAGCCGCTCAATGCTGCTGCCATACTGCCCCCTTCTGGTGGCACAGAGGAGGTGCAGGCTGAAGCCCCACAGCGTTTCCTCAGTCAGACTCTCCAACAGAGGAGCAACGTTACCGATGGAGAGGGACGGACCGCACAGCAACGACTGCAGCAGCAGGGACAGTTAAATCAGTGTGACCTCATGACCTCATTCAGACAGCTACGGGAGGGGAGAAGGGCCACAAAGCAAGAGAAAATTTATCCTGACTTCAATCTCAGAATAATAACTCTGACTTCTGATTTTAAAGTGAGACTTTGAGGAAAATATGTCGAAATGTGGGGAAACAAACTGCAAAAGTTGGATGGAAAAAAGTCAAAATTCAGTGGAAAGAGGAAATTCTGAGGAAACGAGTCAGAAATTATCAACTCAAGTCAGAATTTGTCGATTAAAGCCAAAATTAATTTATTAAAGTATAATTAAAGTAAACTGTTTTTTTTCTAATAAAAAAATTTAAATCTAAAAAAACCTCAAGATTCTGAGAAAAAAAGCTGAATTTTGAGTTTAAAATCAGAATTCTGAGTTTAAAATTGGGTTTCTGAGAAAGTCCATTTTCGTGGCTCCACTCTTTTTTTATCCATCCTTTTATCTCCACACCTGCAGTTTGTGCAGCGCCTCCTGGTGTTGGTGGCTGGAACTGTGAGCTGGGTTCAGGACGGTGAGCCACGGGTAGAGGGCACCGTAATGAGAGCAGCAGCTGATCTGAAAGCAAAACACAGAGCAGGACTGAAGTGAAACCGCCAGAGGAAAAGCTCTCAGATCCAGACGGCGGCATAACCGTTACCAGGTCCTCCGCACTTTTCAGCGACTTGTGTTTTGTCGGGGATTCGCCGGCCGTCAGTCGGTCGATGTAAACCGAAGCGAGTCGGAACAGAAGCTCCTGAATGACGGCATCCTGGGAGGACGCCATGAGCATCGCCTCCCAAAAGTCCACCTGCAGGCTGCACTCACGTCCCAGCTCCTGCAAACCAAACAACATCAGAACCTCCAGAACATCTGGATCCGCAGCGTTCAGACAGGTCAGTGGTGTACGGCGCCCCTACAGGACGTGGGGGGTACTGTCCAAAAAAGAAAAATTCCTTCACAATAATGTATTTACTAGTCAGTTCATGCGGCATGTTGAATATCAAAGGTTTTTTGGCAACAATCTAAAGTTTTTCCATGATTGTTAATATTTCATTTGTCAGATTTCTTTTTGGATACAAACACACCACAAACTTCTGCACAAAATACCAAAGGCAAAGCAGCTCAAATATGAACTTTCCATCAATAGTGGAAGAGACAAACATGACAGGAACAGGAAGAGACGAAGAAAAACAAAACGGAACAGAGAGAAACAATGAAAAGGTTAAGAAACAAAGAAAAGAAATAGTAATAACAAACAAAACAGAACAAAAAGAAACAATGAAAGAAACAACAAAAAAAACAAAGGAAGAGACAAGCAAAAAGGAACAGAGAAGCAAAAATTAAAACAACGAAAGAAAAAAAACTTGAAAAAGAAACAATGAAATAGAATAAAAGAAAGAGAAAAAAGAAAATACGAAAAAACAAACAAAAGAAAGAAAGCAGTAGACATTGAAAGAAAGAAAGAATCAAACAAAAAAAACAAATAGACAAGAAATCCGCGAAAGAAACGAGCATAAAAAAAAGCAAATAAAGAAAAATATTTGGACTGTTTTTTTTTATTTTATTATAAAACAAATCCCCTCTGTGTCCACCAGGGGGCTCTGCAGCAGCGACGGACCTTAAAGACGTGATCAGCCGCCTCCAGCTGCACCT